CTGAAGAGCACTTGTGGGATGTTTGAGTAGTCATTCACTAAACTATCAGCTCTTTTCTCAACCCTGGTTTCATATGCATAGTTTTTCTCCTAATATTTTTACTATCCATCTGTTTTGGATGGGAGACCTTTAAGTGAGTCAGATTTGGCATTGCTGAAATGGAAAAAATACATCCTGAAAGTGCCACTTATACACCAACTAGTGTTACTGATGATTATATGTTACAGGGGAAAATGTTAGAAGTGCTGAAACTATATTGAGGTAGTGTATGAAATAAAAATGATTTTTGATAGCTAATATACTGATGATCGACTCCCCAAGTGCAGATATGCAAGTTTTTTCTGCAAGAACGATGTCGATTTGGCACTAGCTGCCGCTTATCACATGGTATGTTGAAATCATTTAAAGTGTGTGGGGCTAGTAGATCCCTTTTTTTTTTCCTCTTCTGGAAAAGCTGTATTTATATTTCCATTTTCATAAAATTCAATGTGGTCACAATTCATCCAATGACATGGATGAAGGATGTAGCCTGCCCTTACATTGGGAAAACAACTTTCATAGAATGACTACGGAGGAGAATTTACTTTGTTTATGTAATCTCTCTTTAGTTTTAATAGTCTGTTCCCCACACTACAACAATGAAGTAACTTGGGATCATTGTCAATTTATTCTTCATATTTGAAGTAGATATGTAGGCTACTGTGTTTGAAACCTTTCCTTTTTCCTGCTTAAACCTTTCTTTGTGCATTCACAATTGTGTTAGATCAGCTTTTGCTGTTTTGGGATTTCGTATGTTTCTATTATTTGTCAACCATAACATATCTATTCATTTGTTACTAAATGTATTCCCTATCTATATCATTTGCTGGAACGGCTATTTCCAGGATTGCTGGTTGATGTGATTTTATATGTGCAGGGATTGATGTGTCATTATCCTCCCTGAAGAATTATGTGCCAACAATGTGGGATCAGTCATTGGTGGGATCCAGTATCTGGGCACTTTCAGATAGTAATGTTGGCATATGGAGGAAAGCTGAACTTGAATCTTGGGATAATGAACACAGAGTGGGGCAGGTTGTTTTCCATGATGGTGGAAGCTCTGCAAAGCTTGGGAGTGAAGCTATGACAATATCTGAGTATGCTTTGATGAGTGATGAAGAGGAAACTGATTCAAGCGCAGAAGGATCTGATTCTAGCGATTATGATGAAGAGAGTGCTGAAGGTTTAGGGTTTCTTGAGAGCACAAACTTACAAAGAGGTATCCAAACAGGAACTGCCATATTTGCGACATGGGAAAATCATACACGGGGCATAGCTTCCAAGATGATGGCAAATATGGGTTATCGTGAAGGGATGGGATTAGGTGCATCGGGTCAGGGCATGCTGGACCCTATCCCTGTGAAGGTCCTCCCACCAAAGCAATCACTTGATCATGCTCTGGAGTCTCAAAAAGAGGGGATCAAAGACAATCATGGGAAGAAGAGAAGCAGGGGTGGGAAAAGAAAACGTGATAAGAAGTTTGCAGCAGCAGCTAGGGCAGCAAAAGCTGAAGAGGACACGAGACCAGATGTTTTTACTCTTATCAATAATCAACTTGCTGGGCATAACGAAGCGCTGAACGGTGAATCAGCTAAGAAGCAGAAAAGTAAAGGCTCAGAGGAGAAGAAAGTCAATAGGCAAGATCTGCTTGCTTATGATGATGAGATTAAGGAGTTGAGGATACGTGTGGAGAAGCTTGAAGAGATGGCAAACAGAAACAAAAAAGAGAAGGTGGTTTATGAGTCTGCTATGAGAAAATTAAATGAGACTCGCATAGCTTTGGCTAAAGCTGAGGCTTCTAAAGCATCTGCATCTAATGCTATTACTGGTAGAGAAAAAGAGAAGAAATGGCTTAAGTTTTGAGGCCATTATGCTATACATTGCTGTCCAGTTCAAACTATAAAACTGAGCGTGTATGATTACCTCGAATCCTGAAGGTGCCCCTTTGAATTGGCCGTAGCTTTGCAGGAATCACAAGGAGTCAAGCCAAGGTTTCAACAACAATCTTATTTTCCTAGAAAGCAATCTAGTGGATTCAGATCAAGATTTTCACTGTAAACTTGCACTATACCTTCTGCTTGTACCTGCAGTTCGAGTTATGCTCCAGCGAAAAATCCCATTGCAGATGCCATATATGGCTGGTTAAATTCTCGTCATTACCTCTTTATATGCTCAATGTTAACTATCCAATATAGCCGGCAGCCAACAGCCGGCAGCACTGAAACTCGAATTTATATGGGTTGCCAGAGTTGACAAATAGCTTATTTGCTCTGTGCAATAGAGGGATTGATTTTAGCCATTGTTTCTAACTTCATATTACACTGCTAGATTAATATATTGAATGGTTACGTTGAAATTTCCTGCTGATCTGCCAACAAGAGGCCCTCCTGTATGGAAGAAATCACTTGCTAATTTTCTTAAACACTGCTTTTATTTCAACTTTGTCATAGACACAACAAGGAAAAGAAGTCCAGGGCGGAATGCTTATGATAAAATATTTAGTTATTTTTATGTTTTCTTAATAATATGATCATATTTTTGTTAAATCTGGATAATTATGTGGACACAATTTAGTACACCATAATGATAATAATTTATTTATTATTTTATGACTTTTATCCCATTCAAATTATTGAATTCAAAACTAACGGTGGGTTTGGGAGCAAGAACATTCAAATCCTATTATTGGATCATCCTGACTTCATTTATTTATTATATTTGATGAAAAATATATCTTCAAATACATTATACTAGATTAAATTTTATTTTCAATCAATTTTAAAGACATTTCTTTTAAATTTCTCATAATCTTTTCAATATAAAACTTGCACACACCTAATACCATTTACCTTTAATACGATAGAATAAAATGGTGAGATTGAATTTCTCGTGCTACCTAGTTATTAAAAATGTGAAACAATTGTTATTAATAAAACACTAAAAGGCATGAGGTAATGCATACGGTGGGTTTGGGAGCAAGAACATTCAATTTGGTAATGTTGTTCTCCCACACATGGTAGGCTCACACTCATGGGACCGTAAATTCGATTTACCTATGAGTTTTTTTTTCATCCTTTTTTATTTTTTATTTTTTTATTTTTTAAGGACAAATTAAAAATTAACTAAGTAAAACATGTTAAGAAATAACAAAATTAAAAGAGATGACACTAAAGTGAAACCTGAAGACTGATGTTTTCAAAAGAAAAAAAAGGTGCAACTGAGTCATTCTTTATGAATTAAACAATTGGGTCCCTTTAATTTTAAAGTTTTAAAAAATCAATTTTGATCCAAAACTTTTTTTTTTTTAGTTTTTGATTTGAGAGTGGAGAGATAAAATCATCCCGTTCCAACTACAAAGAAAGAAAATTATTGTTGATATTGATTCCGACAACCCAAATGATTGATTATCGTTGATATCTGATTCCAACAACCTAAATAATTGATCTTGGTATCAAATAATTTTATTTGATAAGAAAAATACAATTTAAGTATTTTTTTTATCTTAAAATTGCTTAAAACACATGTATATTCAAAAATATTTTTTTATTGGGTTTATTTCAAGTTCTTGGATGGGTTTTTGAAGTCATGAATGAATTTATCAAGTAGCCTAATATATTTTCTAAGTATTCTAGATAAACAAATGGATTGAAAAATGATTTTTGGGTCAAAAAAATTTTAGGTTTGATTTTTTAAAACATCACAATCATCAAAATTTGAATAAAATTAAAGGACGCGTCATCTATTTTAATTTCTTTCAATAATACCTGAAGCAAATAAAATGTTATCTACCTTATCTACATTTAAAAAATTAAAAGCTGAAATATGCAAAGCCTTACTAAATAGGTTAGACATGCTGATCTGATTTCAAGTTCTTGGATGGGTTTTTGAAGTCATGAATGAATTTATCAAATAGCCTAATATGTTTTCTAAGTATTCTGGATAAACAAATGGATTGAAAAATGATTTTTGTGTCAAAAAAATTTTAGGCTTGATTTTTTAAAACATCACAATCACCAAAATTTGAATAAAACTAAACGACGCGTCATCTATTATAATTTCTTTCAATAATACCTGAGGCAAATAAAATGTTATCTACCTTATCTATATTTAAAAAATTAAAGGCTAAAATGTGCAGAGTCTTACTAAATAGGTTAGGCATACTGATTTGGCTTTTTAGATCCAACAACACCTAATATTTTAAAAATTTATTTTTTATTTATGTTATATAGATATAATTTTTGAAGTGATTATTCTAATTTATATTTTATATAAATAAAATTTATTTTTTAAAATAAAAATATTTATTTTTCGATATAATTTCTAATATGTGTAACATTGAATAATATTTTTTTTTCTTTTATGTATCTAATTTCTATTATTATTTAATTAAATAAAAATAAAAATTTAATAAATATTGTATCTATTTATATTATTATTTAATAAAATAAAAATTTGAATTTAATAAATATAGCCATTAAACACAATTACATCAAAGGTTTATATTGTGAGGTCAAATATTTTGATTTATATTTATTTTGGAGTTATTTATTTTTAATAATTTTTTTCTTCAATTATTAATATATATAGAGAATTTAATAAATATAGCCATTAAACACAATTACATCAAAGGTTTATATTATATTGTGAGATCAAATATTTTGATTTATATTTATTTTTGAGTTATTTATTTTTAATAATTTTTTTCTTCAATTATTAATATATATATATTTTTAATTTATTTAATTAGATATATCTTTAAGATTTATCTATACAAAAAAATATGTTAAAGTTTTTTGGATATATAATTTGTTTTTTTTATTTAAATATTTAATGAAGATTTAATTAGATATATCTTTAAGATTTATCTATACAAAAAAATATGTTAAATGTTTTTGGATATATAATTTGTTTTTGTTATTTAAATATTTAATGAAGCGCGAGTGGGATACACAGTGCCAAATGCAATCATTGTTGATTCACTGTGCACCCGTGATGACTTACCGTGCACATAAAGTGTAATTGCTGCGCTTTCTCCTCTCCCCACCACCATAATTCCTCGGTAAGCAGAAAAGATTTGATCGGAAAGTGGAAATGAGGAGCGATATGGTAGTAGGAGGCGTTCCGTTGAATTTTGATCAACCAGAGGGGTGTGTGGCAAACGTACTCTCCTTAACAACTCCTCAGGACGTATGCCGACTCTCTGCTGTCTCTCCAATTTTCAAGTCGGCCGCCGAATCTGACGTTGCTTGGCAGAGGTTCCTGCCTAACGATCTTGAATCCATCCTGTCTACTGCCCTTGATGGTTCTCTCCTGCTGTCGTCCGCTTCTTCCAAAAAAGAAGTCTACTTCAGTCTCTGTGACAATCCCATCATTGTTGACCATGGGAGAAAGGTTAAGTTCCTTTTTTTTAATCCAGTTTGTTTCCTTTGAACGTTTTTTTTTTTATACAGGTCCATTTGTGTTTAATTTCTTGAATAGCTTTTTTTTTTATTAAATTTTTTTTCTTGATCCAATTTACTACTAGATCAGTTGATAATTAATATATTCGTTAACCAGTTTAAAAGGATCAAGCGAACTGCCATTAAGAGTTTGTGCGAGGTAATTTATTTCTTATTTTTTTTTAGTCAATATTTGCAGATGAATTAATGTTGTAGTTTCAGCGGTTACGCTAATGTTTGGTAAGATTATTGTCATTAATATGATATTAGCAAACATGGCAGCATTGCAACCTTACTTTAGAAGATGATTGCTATTATTAAAAGCTTATAATAATAAGGATGTATTATCAAGTCAAGTTACACTAACCATTAGTAAAATAGTGTAATTTATATGTTGCTATTATTTATGCTATGATTTATGGTTTTTTGTCTGTTATTGATGTCTAGAAGCATTATTTGAGAGCAAAATGAGAAAGAAAAAAAGTGTATAATATAAGAGACTAAGAGAAAAATAGGGGCTACCAAGGGTAGCAGCTCTGTTCTAATGTGCAGTAATATATGTGAGCAGTGGGAGTTGAGTTTGAGTGAAGTGATTCTCTTCCTCTATGTATATTATAACCCTTTCTCTGTTTCTCTCTAATAATATTGTCTTTTCCCGTGGATTTAGATGATTTGTCGAACCACGTTAAATATTATATCAGTATACTTAACCTTCAAAGAGTAATTATCAGTACATCACCAGTCCAAATCCCTAATAATAATTTATTTTATAAAAGTCAGTAGTTACATTAGAAATATTGCTTTTTTTTATTGAGCTCTTAGTTGTCTATCATGAATTTCTAGTATATATGAGCCGCAGAAGATAAAAAAAGGATGTTAATTTTGAGGGACTTTTCAAGTTAATTTTAGCATGTACCTGAGTTTCATGCCATTTAAATTTCAATTTTTCCTGTGGAAAAAAATACAAGTAAAATGATGCAAATGAGGGGACTAGACTAGGGAGGATTGGAATAATGAGAAGTCAAGAAATTATGCGTCTTGTCCCAAAAGCTACGTGATTGATTTGATTTCCTTATGCAGTGGACTTTTATGGTTTTATTTGGAGTATTGATTTATCTAATAGTGTACTGCCTTTGTATTGAATAGAGGTTTTCATTGGAGAAAAAGAGTGGGAAGATCTGTTACGTGCTTTCTGCAAGGGATCTCGTGATTACATGGGGTGATACTCCTGTGTACTGGAAATGGAAATCTAATTCTGACTCCAGGTTTTCTTTCTTTTTACCTTTTTTTTTTATGGGGTGATACTCCTCGAAATGTAACATGCTTTATACAAGTGATCTCATGGTTGTTTAATGATGATGGCTTATCTACAGATTTGCAGAAGTGGCTGAGCTTATTAATGTGTGTAGGCTTGAAATCATTGGCAAAATCAATACTCGTTTGCTGTCCCCGGCAACATTATACACAGCATACCTCGTGTTCAAGTTTGCATCGAGAATTCATGGATTGGATCGCCAACCAGTAGATGTCACAATGAAACTGGATGGAGGCGAATATGGTGCACGGACTTGTAGCTGGAATGCGCAAGGAATGCGCCGGCGCAATACATCTGTAACTGTCAGAGGCCGGGTGCATTATCCAAAGGAAAGAGGAGATGGGTGGTTGGAGATGGAACTCGGTGACTTCTTTAGCACAGAAAAGGAGGATGGAGAACTGGAAATGAGGTTTTTTGACGACACTGATCACTGGAAAGGCGGGTTGATTGTGGAAGGGATTGAGATCAGACCAAAAGATGGTAGGTGGATGAGCAAGTATTTCATATTTTAGTGAGAAAGTCTTTTCTTTTCACATTTCAGTGGGCAAATTAGTTTTAGTGTCTTTAATGCATCAATGTCAAGAGCTTATGTTGGTCCTGCTTTGCATTTTTAGGTTTGCTCTAAGATACCATTTGAGGTTTTCCTTTCTATTGATGATGGAATCTTGCATTGTCATCCAGCATTTCTCAGAGTTCATGAAGTTATATATTCTATGAAATTCTCCTAAATCTGTGACCCTTTTCCCCCCACGTAGATTACGAGAGAAACCTCATAACGGTGAATTTGTCTGAAAAAATCAACCCAAATTGCAAAACCTTAAATATATATCTAGCTAGGGTTCTAAAAAGTTGGATATCAGGCTATATACTTCATTTTAAATTATGGTCTTTCAACAAGTTGGCTTCTTGATGTCATTTCTTTCTTTCCCAGTTTCCAGGGCAGCTAGTCTAAACAGTTAAAGATTCACACACCGGACTACATCTGAAATGTGCAAGTTTACTTGGAGAAGCCGAGTTTGCACGCTGCTATTTTTGAATCAGAATCGCTATTGGACAGAAGTCATTCTGTTGAATAATAAGTTAAAAATTATCCTAATCGATGGAAAGACCTCTCAAATCCGTAAGTTTATAATATAAACTCTATGTTATTTTGTTTTATAATCAAATACTTGTGTAATTCTAGGAGCTGTCAAGGAGTCGAGGCTCAGAAGACTATCATATTATTATTATTATTATTATTATTATTATTATTATTATTATTATAACAGTGAAATATCAAGGCTCAGGCACATTTTAGTCTTCGAAATTCTTAAGATTTTTTTTAATTTATGTTTTATAATTTCATTAGTTATCTCTGTCTCACCATCCGCATCGCGAGTTTCTTAATTTACGATGTTAAATTGAGTCATTTTTTTATTTTTTCAATTTTATTCTTTAACATCGCGTTAATTGAGAATTATATTTTGTTAATTGAGAATTAGATTTTATATTATTTCTTATTTGTTTTCTACGAGGTTATTATAATTTTATGATTAGATTCATGAGTTTTGCGAGTAAGTTAGGTTGACTTAAGATTTTTTTAATTTTATTCTATTTTGAATTGATTGAACATTAAATTTTATATTTCTTTTTGATTGGTTATTTATTGAGTTATTCATGTCTTCTTACTTGAGTTTGGTAAGTTAATCAATATTAATTTGACTTATTTTTTTTGTTCTTTTTTAATTTAACCATTTAACATTGGTTAATTGGTAATTGACTTTTATAATTTTTATAACTTATTTTTTATAGGGTTATTATTGTCTTGTGATCCCATCGCATGTTAGGTTAGTTGACTTGAGATTTCTTTTAATTAATTTTTTTAGTTGTCTTTTAATATTAAGTTAATTAAAAATTAAACTTGATAATTTATTTTGGTTTATGTTCTATGAGGCATCTCAGTCTCGGAACTTGAGTCACAAGTTTCGTTAGTTGACTTGAGTGATTTTTTTTTAACTAATTCTTTTTAAAATTTTATCCATCAACATTGTATTAATCAAGAATTGAGTTTCATAATTTATTTTGTTTTTTTAATAGGATTAACCTGATCTTATGATCTAGGTTTTACATGTTAGTAAGGGATGACTCAATTTATTTTTTTAGTTGAATTTTATTTTTAATTTTATCATTTAATATTGACTTGGTTGAAAATTATGTTTAATAATTTTTATTTTTATTTTTTATAGGGTTATTAAGGTCTTATGATCTAATTGGCGGATTTAATTAGTTAATCCAAGTCAATTTAATATATAATTGTTTCAATATTTAAAAGAAAAGTTATCTTGAGTTTTTTAATCAGATTATATTTTTATTGGTCATTCACTTAATCTCTTGAATTATTAAATATACTAGATCATCCTTTATAGTTGTTTTTTTTTTTTTTAACTAAAAAACACATTAATAATATTTGAATATATTTTTGTACATTCAAAAAAATTTAATTCGACACACAGAATAATAGCACGAACAATAATACTATATGTCTCCATGCTTATACAGTTTCTTCCTTTTTCTTTTTCTTTTTCCTGTTGATTCATGAAGATGACAATTGAACATTGTAACAGAGACTAACACTTCTTTTTCATACAATGATCGAATAAACTAGTATTGGTCAGGTTAAGTTAATGTTTTGATATAAAAGAAATAAATATGAAAGAGGTATAAATATATTTAATTAAATAAATAAATATTATATTTCAAAATAAATTTATTTCGAATAGGTACAAAAAGTCAGGATGTTTAGTTGAATACACACTATATTTAATAGTTTTACCCAAATGTTTTTTTTGTTGGCAGTGACATTACCATTCCAATAGGAAAATTTTTACCAACTAATTCTATGTGTCCATCAGTATACCGTTCATTCATAATTTCGTTTATGTCGGAAATTCTGTTAGAAAAAATTAATAACCAATAACTTTGCAGATAAAAAATATACACAAAAAAAATACCTCTTGAAATAATTTTGTCAGTGATAATAATATATACAATAAAGTTTTTTCAACTTTTTAAAATATATCAACAGATTGAGTTCATTGTAATTCCATTGGTAATAATGACACTTGCAATAATTTTTTTTTAGTTCTCTAGGATATTCAATCTGTCAGTAACTCCATCTATGATATTAAAAAATATTTTTTAAAAAATAAAATTTTATAAAATAGTAAAAAATAAATAAAATTATATAAAAATAAATTATCTTAATATAAAAGCCAAATATTCATTACAAATTTGGATTTTCAAATAAATTTAAACTAGAACAATGGTGGCATAGAGAAGAAGGAGGAGGAGAAGGATGTTAGTGGTTCTCGGGATCATATAGCTTAAAAAAAGATGCACATATACCATCCATGTTTGATTTTATATCCAAGATCATTTGATAGAGTTGTTTATAATTCGCATAAAGTTCTTGATATGTTTCAGAGAGATTGATAGTATATTTTTGTAATGCCATGAACTCTTGAGACTTGGTGATTGATATCGATTTCAAGCATCCAATGATTGAGATAATAAAGGTCGTTCATAAGTTCTTGGATATAGTGTTGAAGAGTCCATACACCTAATTTTTATTAGCTCCATTAGACGATCATGTCTTTATCCACAAATTTAGATTGAAATCCTGATATGTTGAAGTATATCTCCATATCTCTTCCTCAATCGATAATTATATGTCTCTTGAAAATAAAAAAAAATCATCAAATTCAATTAAAAAAATAATAACTTACAAAAGAAAATGGTTGAATGAACATACTATAAAATGTTGAGCGTGATTGTTAATGAACTATTGCATTCTTTTTGGTGGTCTTCACTCTATAAGTGCTTCTTCACAAAAAGTTCCATTAGGCTTGGCTTACGTCCAAAAGCTGTAGTCTGTAAAAAAAATATTGCAATTTAAATTTATTTATAAATAAAAATAAATAAATTAAAGATAGATTTAATTAAAACTAATCTTACTATTTGCTTCGCATGTGAAATAAATAGAACAAAGTTGTCAATGTGCGTGGTAATCGAATCATGAATTTGTCAATTTTAGTTCTCGGCACTAGATTATGAGCGTTGTGTAAATTGATCGAATATCACGTACTAAATATATTTCGTCCATATATTCCCCGGAATGTATGACGACCTGAAATCCTTTTAAACTGCCATATCATTCTAGTCTAATAAAGCATTATTTCTAGCATATTTTTTAGTTCTTTTTTGCTCCTCATACTAAAAATCATGCAACCTACACGATACAAGTATATTTTATATGAGTTAATGACAAATTATATTTTAATATATAAAATTAAAAAAAATAGCTTATAGTGCACAGGTCTTGCTTGATTCGATGAAGATTTCATCCTATCCTGATAACCATATGAACGGAAAATTAGCTGTCTTTCCTCGTCACCTTCATCCAAAGACAAAAAAATCAGAACACACTTCTGTTTGTCTTTATACTTATGGCCAAGCGGAGGTTTCAAGGATCAAGTAGATAAAAAGAGTGAAGACCCTAGACAATAAGAAGCCATCAAGAAAGCACCACGTAGGTAAATCTGTTCTGGTGCAAATATTTGTCAAATTGTGCTTCCTGTGTTTGTATAAAATCTATAGCCAAAAACCTTTATTATTATAAGGTAGAAGTTCAGACTAGGCACTTAGGGTGTGTTTTGGCACCACCATTTTATGAAGAATTGATTTTTTTTGGTTTTAAATTATTTTTTATGGTATTTTCTGTTTTTTTGATATGTGGATATTAAAAATAATTTTTTTAAAAAATAATAAAATATTATTACAATGCATTTTCAAATAAAAAACACTTTGAAGCAACTGTATTCTTAAATATGTTCTTAATTAATGTTTTAGGATTAAAAAAACAAAAACATGTTTGTAAATAAAAAAAAAAAATCTGGAAACCTGGGAAAAGATGGCTAGTGACAATGGGCAGGGGAATGGTCGTTGAACTTGCTTTCAGAAGGATGCATTGTGAATGTGCTGTCCTTTACGTGGCGGCATGCAGGCTGTCTATTGCCTCTCCATTGTTCAGGTCAGCCACATAAACTGATGCCCTTTGGGAGAAATTCCTGCCCCGTGATCATCAATCTATCCTCTCCGAATCTGATAGTCCTCTGCTGATTTCTTCCAAGAAACAACTCTATGTCAGCCTCTGTGGTAATCCTATCCTCATTGAGGATGGTAAAAAGGTATCGTTTTCATCCCAATCCCAAATTTGGCAACATATTAAGTGACCCAAATTTCCAAAACAAATAGATTAGATAGGATTGTACAAGAAGATCAGACTATGTTGTCAAATTGAAGAGTTGGGATAAAATTCTTGGTTGTCTTCTATCTTTTTTTTAAGAAGCATAATATTGCATTAAAAGACACTAAACTTAGGCGGAGAAGACATAAAACATAAGAAACTGCTTACAGCTCAAGTTTAGCAGATCTATGAACTGAAAATAAACTGAAAATAACAACAAACCAGGAAACCAAAAAGAAACAACTAGTAGCTAATAGAAGCAAATAAAAGCCAAAATCAAAATAGCAGCTAAGAGCTAGAATTGTCTCTGGATATCTTGAAGAATCACCTCCTTTGTAGAACCAAAGCAATCTACAGATCATGGACATTAGCACGCACTAAAACAGAATCCTGCAACTTTTCATCAAAATCTACAAGAAAATGAACCAACATGGAAAACAATCCATTTTTCCTAATAGCCGTGCCCAGAAATTAAAGAAAATAGAAGACCCACATATCAAGCAAATTAAAGCCAAGCGACAAATTCAGAGTTTCTAAACGCTCCCTGTTTGGCCATGTGATCTGCCATATGATTACCCTCACGAAGAGAATGAGTGAATGTAAGTGAACCAAAACATGAAACTACTCTCTGAATAGAGGAGAAAAGATTGCGATGCAGCCATGGCCTATTATGGGGATTATTCATCCAGCTAATGACATTGGCCGAGTGAGATTCAATAATAATGTGTTTATGATGTAAGTAGCAATTAGAAGCTGATAATTCAATAACTTTGACAACCGCTTTTAGCTCGGCTACATTGGAGTCTAAAATCCCAGCTGACAAGGAGAAAATGCCAAGAATGATCCCATTATAATTTCGCAAGACTCCGTCTATACCTGAGGGCCCCGGCTTCCCGAGAGAGGAGCCATCCACATTCCATTTGAAGCTATTAATCATAGGAGGAGACCACACAATAACTGCCCTTTGATTTTTAGAATTAGTTCATCGTAATAGCACTTCTGGTGATCTTATTAAATCTGAAGCGAAATAAGAGAAATCAGGTTCTATAGCCTTTATTCAAAAACAGAAACGAGTAATAATAAGGATAAATAATGTATCATAATTTAGGTCATCTACTTAAATATCACATCATTACAATGAAGCCAAAGAGACCATACCACTGAAAAAACAGTATTAATCAATTTTTTTTTTTGAAATTTTCTATAAATCAAAGAATCCCACTGAGAGAAAAGGGTTGCCAAGTTCTTTGGACAACACCACGCTAAGCCCATCAATTGATAATTTGAGACCAAACTATCCAATGTCATGTACTGAAGTCTATCCGAGTATTTGGATTTACTAAAGGATTAGGATCTTTATGGTTTTACTACAGGGATTGTTATCTAATTGTGCCCCCCTTTTTTTGGCATGAAATAGAGCTTTTCATTGGAGAAAAGGAGCGAGAAGAAATGATATATGCTCTCAGCAACGGATCTCAGAATTGCACGGGGTGACGCTCCTGAATATTTGGGATGGGCTTCTGATCCTGGCTCAAGGTCTCTCTTCTTCTCATCCTGATGACTTTCCATGGTATATTTTCTGTTTTCTGCTTTTGTGGCATGGATACAAATACAATTTCATGATTTCGAGCACCTACAGGTTTTCCGAAGTGGCTCACTTTTTTTGTGTATGCTGGCTTGAAATCAGTAGCAAAATCAATACAAGCATGCTAGCTATCACCAGCAACATTGTGTACAGGACACCTTGTCTTCAAGCTCTCCGTAGAAGCGCTTGGTAACCAGCCAATACAGGGTCACTATGGGAATCATTGGTGGTGAAAAAAGCACACGCGAACTCTTTGTTGGCATGCAGAAAGACAGTCTCGGTGGCAATACCGAAGTTCAATAAGGCCTATAATTGGTTCATCTGCTGCTGAAAGTAATTGGAATTATCCAAAGGAAAGAGGAGATGGATGGTCGCAGATTGAAATGGGTGAAATTCTTAGCAAGGAAGGGGAAGAAGAAGAAGAGCTGGAAACGTGGGTTGATTGTCAGTGGGATCGAGATCAGACCAAAAGAGGGTAGCTAGACGAGCAACAGTTTTCACGTATTAGTGATCATGTCCGCATTGTAGTGTTCAAATCAGTAACAATGTTTTGCATAAATAGCGAGAGCTTTTCCTGCTCTAATTTGCTGGACATTTCCTGTTTTTCTATTGATAATATCGAACCGCGTAGTGTCAAGTGGTGGAGCTCGAACAGATTTTTAGAGGGGCCAAATTAAACGTCACTCAAAACATGATCCTAAGCACAGTTACAAGATCCAAAAACTGGAGATGGCTACAATATTTAATCTAAGAGTTAAATTTATTTAAGATCCAGGTTACGGGTTGATTCCACGATGAGATAACGAGTTGATTGACGACGAGTTGACTTAGGACCTACTCTAAAGCGGCTTTATATTGAACCAAATTAAAATTAATTTAGGATAAATCTAGTTTGATTTCATAACTTATGCAAGCAGAGATGGCAAGGCACTCTGCACCACCCCTTGGACCAGTGGACCTGTTAGTAACAAAATCCCCTGCCATGGGCAATAGCACATGGCAATTTCTTTGTGGAACATGAATAAGTAACAAGTGGCGTATAATTACTAGGATTATAGTTTAATTGATTATATTCTAAACTTATTTTTTTAAAATTATCAATTTAAATCTTATAAATTTTAAAGCTATTATAAACTTATATAATTATTAATTTTAATACCTATAAAACCAGTTAAGATATGTATACATCCACTTTAATCTAAAAAAAAACACATGGCATAATCAGCCATGATACAAGGAGAGATCTATACAAGGGTGGCCATTGCACTTTCTTTTACGGACAGCATAACCAAAAGGTTTAAAGTAAAGCTAGGAGGCACCGTCTCTGACCTAGATAGCGATTTTTGTTGGTTTATATAAAAATATTTACTTAAATGATAAATTTTAAAAAATAATTTAAATTATAAAAATAAATTAAAAATAAATAGATATAATTTTCCCAAACTTAAAAAAGTTATGAAAAAATTTGAGCCTTAATGATTAATATAAATACAATCAATAAAAAAAATAATACAACTATGCTCATAAAAATTAAAGGTTCTAAGTATTTAAGTGAAAATTTGATATAATTATATGAAGATATAATCTAGATAAATTATATAAATAATCTAATATGTGTTTTTATGGATAAGTAAAATAAGTCTAGATCTAAAAAAAATATGATGATGTTAAACTGCATTAACAACTTGAAATAAAGATAACAGGAGATTATACAAAAAATTTTCTAAGTAATTTTAAAAGCAATTTTTCTATGAAAAGTAACCGCATTGCTTATTGAACCACTAAATATTTTTTTTAAAGAAAGTTATTGTGTAACTTATCAAATTGTTAGATCTTATAGAAATAGAAATTAGGCTCAAATGTTGCTATTTGGGTAATTTTATTATTTTTCCTAGTGTTTTCAGGTTTATTATTTTATTCAAATTTTTGTTTTAATTTTATATGTGCTTTCGGTTTTAATTGAAAACCTTCTTTCGGTTTTGTAGTTGTTTCCCAGTAAAGATATGCTTTTCTAGTCTATTAACCTCTAAAAAGACATAAATTGCAAATTTAAAATTTAGATCTGCTGTTATACTTGAATATCATGATGATCAAGTATGAATTTTTTTTTTAAAAAATAGATAAATAAAAGATCTTTTACATCTTGTTATTTGAAGAATATATCTTAATTTAAGAAATCATAAACTAATATTATAGTCTTTAAAAATCCTAACTAATTCACAAAGATTTTATTGTATGTGGTTGATTATGTATAAAAAAAAATATTATCACCTCTTAAACATTTTATCTGAGGTAAAATGTATTGTTAGTCTTATCTAAAGTTATTTAGAATTTATTTTTTATTTTTTTGACTTCTTATAATATTCATGACTATAACATTAGTGAATATTCACTTAAAAATTTCTTATGAGATTTATTATGTACAAAAAAAAGTTATCACCTTTTAAATATTTTATCTAAAAAAAATAAATTATTGATCTTATCTAAAGTTATTTAGAATTAATTTTTATTTTTTTATCTTTCTATAATATTCATAATTATAACATTAGTGAATATTCACTTAAAAATTTATAACTCTAATATTAGAAAATATTACACAACCCAAAAGACTTGGTATTCCTAATTTTAGTGATGATAAGTAAATTTACACAATTTAATTTTTTTTAAAATACTATTTTTTACTTCTTTATTTTTCTATGTATTTTTTAAGGATGGATCTGCCAGTATGGCTGAACGGGACCAGCTGCCCCTGGCCGATCACTGCACAAGCTAGCGACCCGGCTGGGGCAAAGCAGCATGCATGCGTGAATTAACACGCGTGCATGCTGCACAGTGCGAAGGTAATTATAATTACCTTCGCACTGTGTAATGCAGGGTTCAAGTGAGGAGGAATGTTACTGGTTTCACGGACCGCTGACGAAGATGACGGCGATGAAGACGTGAGTTGCTGGACACTCCCCTCTGCTCCTGGCGAAGACGAAGGCTTGAGGTGGTGCTGGCCGATGCTTTTCCTCTCTTCGTTTCTGTTTTTTTTTGTTTCTCTATCCTCTTTTTTTTTTTTTCTGTTCTCTCTAGTTTTCTTGCTTTTTGTTTGTCCACCGTTGGTTCTCTGGTTTGTCTCCCTAATCTTCCTCTCTTGTATGCTCTCTGGTCCGGAGACAAAGTCGAAGACGATGGCGAACTGGTCACTTTCTTTCCTTATCTTTCATTCTCTATTCGTCCCTATTGTATCCGTTGAAAAAGTCCCCACTCTCTGGTTTTTGAGTTTTTTCCCCCCAGTCCAGTGCGCTCCCTTGTTCGTCTATTTTCCCTATGTTTTTTCAGTTTCATCGTCGTCCCCTTTGCGTTCGCTTCTATACAGCGCCCTTGTTCCCCCTGTGTTTTGTTCCTCTGTCCAGTGTGCTCATTTGTTCCCCCCTGTGTGTATTTCTCGTTCTTCCGTTTTCCTCTCGTTCGTGTCGGTCCTGTCTGTACTGAGAAGAGATGGTTGCTGCTGCTATAGCTGGTGCATGATCACGGTGAGAAAGGGGAGTGAGGGCTGGTGTTTACTGGGGGCTCACGCGCGGTGAGAAAGGGGACCGATTCATTAGCTGCCTTGAATGATGCTCTTGCCTCTGACCCATCAAATCCTGAGCTTCTCTCTGTAACATTCTCCGCCTTCTCTTCTCGGTTTCTTATTTTTCCTTCTGCTTTTATCATATTTATTTTATTTTATTGGTGACCCAATTGAGGGATACGCTTTTTAATGCTTTTGTAGAAGGTATGCGTGTTTATTTATTGAAAAAGATTGAAACTTGAGCGGGTATCTCGAGTTTTACTGGTTGGGTTTTGTTTTTGTTGATTTTTTGTTATGCTTGTTTCTTGTGTAGAAGCTGCTGTTCATTTTGATGGTTAACCTCTTAAAAAGTTTAATTGTATTTTAGTTTAACAAGTTGGGTTTTACTATCCATTGCTCTTATGATGTTTTTTCCGTGCATAGAAGCTGTTTTTCTTGTTACTTATGTGTTCTTGTAATGTTTTGTCTAAAGAGTGTGAACACGACCTGGCAAACTCTACATTACCTGATGAATGCTAAAACTAAAAGAAATGGTCTTTGGTACCTTCAATGAATGTTTGCATCTATTGGTTTACAGAATTGCTTATTTTGAAAAGCACCCTTTGTGCTAGAAGACCTTTAGACATTGGTGTATGGCTTGTGTTTACAAGGATGTGCAAATAACATGCGTAGCAATGTATATTATGCTTTATGATTGTGGAAGGTGGACTTTCTGTTTGTATCTTTTCCATCATTTTGAATTATGGTACAAGTTGTTTGACGTTATTGTTTTCATCTCAGGTTCAGGAGGAGCTTCTTCAGGTCATTAAAGATGCAGAGGAGGGACTCCTGCATCTAAAACGTGCACGGTTATTACGAGAGGCAGATTCAGTATTACATGCTTCCTACCATACTGTAGAGGATGTCAAGGCTGAGCCTCTTGATCCAGTTCATGTTGAACCAGAACCACTAGAGGACCAGTGTTACTCAGTAGGATCAAAATGCAGATTCCGTCATGTTGATGGACGCTGGTACAATGATCAAATTATTGAGATGGTTTGTTCTGATACTGCGAAGATCGCTTTCCTCACTCCTATATCAGAAAATATGCTGGTGAGTATATGTTTTTCTGTTTATTTCCAAAAAGGTTGCTTCTGCGTTTTGTTTTTGGAATATAGTATGACACAGTCCATTGCTTTCCCAAATAACTAATCCATCCTCTTTGGTGGGACTAACGGTGTTTGTTCTTTGTGGTGCTGATGGAACTGGAACATTCCGATTCACCCATAAATCTTATCCTTCCACATGCACGTAGTCTGCTAGCTTGTGCTGCTGTAACAGTTGTATGTTATTTATTTAGGCTTTATCTAATGCAAGGTTTTGATGGATTGTTAGAATCCTCTTTTTTGTCTGAAGAGCACTTGTGGGATGTTTGAGTAGTCATTCACTAAACTATCAGCTCTTTTCTCAACCCTGGTTTCATATGCATAGTTTTTCTCCTAATATTTTTACTATCCATCTGTTTTGGATGGGAGACCTTTAAGTGAGTCAGATTTGGCATTGCTGAAATGGAAAAAATACATCCTGAAAGTGCCACTTATACACCAACTAGTGTTACTGATGATTATATGTTACAGGGGAAAATGTTAGAAGTGCTGAAACTATATTGAGGTAGTGTATGAAATAAAAATGATTTTTGATAGCTAATATACTGATGATCGACTCCCCAAGTGCAGATATGCAAGTTTTTTCTGCAAGAACGATGTCGATTTGGCTCTAGCTGCCGCTTATCACATGGTATGTTGAAATCATTTAAAGTGTGTGGGGCTAGTAGATCCCTTTTTTTTTTCCTCTTCTGGAAAAGCTGTATTTATATTTCCATTTTCATAAAATTCAATGTGGTCACAATTCATCCAATGACATGGATGAAGGATGTAGCCTGCCCTTACATTGGGAAAACAACTTTCATAGAATGACTACGGAGGAGAATTTACTTTGTTTATGTAATCTCTCTTTAGTTTTAATAGTCTGTTCCCCACACTACAACAATGAAGTAACTTGGGATCATTGTCAATTTATTCTTCATATTTGAAGTAGATATGTAGGCTACTGTGTTTGAAACCTTTCCTTTTTCCTGCTTAAACCTTTCTTTGTGCATTCACAATTGTGTTAGAGCAGCTTTTGCTGTTTTGGGATTTCGTATGTTTCTATTATTTGTCAACCATAACATATCTATTCATTTGTTACTAAATGTATTCCCTATCTATATCATTTGCTGGAACGGCTATTTCCAGGATTGCTGGTTGATGTGATTTTATATGTGCAGGGATTGATGTGTCATTATCCTCCCTGAAGAATTATGTGCCAACAATGTGGGATCAGTCATTGGTGGGATCCAGTATCTGGGCACTTTCAGATAGTAATGTTGGCATATGGAGGAAAGCTGAACTTGAATCTTGGGATAATGAACACAGAGTGGGGCAGGTTGTTTTCCATGATGGTGGAAGCTCTGCAAAGCTTGGGAGTGAAGCTATGACAATATCTGAGTATGCTTTGATGAGTGATGAAGAGGAAACTGATTCAAGCGCAGAAGGATCTGATTCTAGCGATTATGATGAAGAGAGTGCTGAAGGTTTAGTGTTTCTTGAGAGCACAAACTTACAAAGAGGTATCCAAACAGGAACTGCCATATTTGCGACATGGGAAAATCATACACGGGGCATAGCTTCCAAGATGATGGCAAATATGGGTTATCGTGAAGGGATGGGATTAGGTGCATCGGGTCAGGGCATGCTGGACCCTATCCCTGTGAAGGTCCTCCCACCAAAGCAATCACTTGATCATGCTCTGGAGTCTCAAAAAGAGGGGATCAAAGACAATCATGGGAAGAAGAGAAGCAGGGGTGGGAAAAGAAAACGTGATAAGAAGTTTGCAGCAGCAGCTAGGGCAGCAAAAGCTGAAGAGGACACGAGACCAGATGTTTTTACTCTTATCAATAATCAACTTGCTGGGCATAACGAAGCGCTGAACGGTGAATCAGCTAAGAAGCAGAAAAGTAAAGGCTCAGAGGAGAAGAAAGTCAATAGGCAAGATCTGCTTGCTTATGATGATGAGATTAAGGAGTTGAGGATACGTGTGGAGAAGCTTGAAGAGATGGCAAACAGAAACAAAAAAGAGAAGGTGGTTTATGAGTCTGCTATGAGAAAATTAAATGAGACTCGCATAGCTTTGGCTAAAGCTGAGGCTTCTAAAGCATCTGCATCTAATGCTATTACTGGTAGAGAAAAAGAGAAGAAATGGCTTAAGTTTTGAGGCCATTATGCTATACATTGCTGTCCAGTTCAAACTATAAAACTGAGCGTGTATGATTACCTCGAATCCTGAAGGTGCCCCTTTGAATTGGCCGTAGCTTTGCAGGAATCACAAGGAGTCAAGCCAAGGTTTCAACAACAATCTTATTTTCCTAGAAAGCAATCTAGTGGATTCAGATCAAGATTTTCACTGTAAACTTGCACTATACCTTCTGCTTGTACCTGCAGTTCGAGTTATGCTCCAGCGAAAAATCCCATTGCAGATGCCATATATGGCTGGTTAAATTCTCGTCATTACCTCTTTATATGCTCAATGTTAACTATCCAATATAGCCGGCAGCCAACAGCCGGCAGCACTGGTTGCCAGAGGTGACAAATAGCTTATTTGCTCTGTGCAATAGAGGGATTGATTTTAGCCATTGTTTCTAACTTCATATTACACTGCTAGATTAATATATTGAATGGTTACGTTGAAATTTCCTGCTGGTCTGCCAACAAGAGGCCCTCCTGTATGGAAGAAATCACTTGCTAATTTTCTTAAACACTGCTTTTATTTCAACTTTGTCATAGACACAACAAGGAAAAGAAGTCCAGGGCGGAATGCTTATGATAAAATATTTAGTTATTTTTATGTTTTCTTAATAATATGATCATATTTTTGTTAAATCTGGATAATTATGTGGACACAATTTAGTACACCATAATGATAATAATTTATTTATTATTTTATGACTTTTATCCCATTCAAGTTATTGAATTCAAAACTAACGGTGGGTTTGGGAGCAAGAACATTCAAATCCTATTATTGGATCATCCTGACTTCATTTATTTATTATATTTGATGAAAAATATATCTTCAAATACATTATACTAGATTAAATTTTATTTTCAATCAATTTTAAAGACATTTCTTTTAAATTTCTCATAATCTTTTCAATATAAAACTTGCACACACCTAATACCATTTACCTTTAATACGATAGAATAAAATGGTGAGATTGAATTTCTCGTGCTACCTAGTTATTAAAAATGTGAAACAATTGTTATTAATAAAACACTAAAAGGCATGAGGTAATGCATGAGGTAATGTTGTTCTCCCACACATGGTAGGCTCACACTCATGGGACCGTAAATTCGATTTACCTATGAGTTTTTTTTTCATCCTTTTTTATTTTTTTATTTTTTAAGGACAAATTAAAAATTAACTAAGTAAAACATGTTAAGAAATAACAAAATTAAAAGAGATGACACTAAAGTGAAACCTGAAGACTGATGTTTTCAAAAGAAAAAAAAAAGGTGCAACTGAGTCCTCATTCTTTATGAATTAAACAATTGGGTCCCTTTAATTTTAAAGTTTTAAAAAATGAATTTTGATCCAAATTTTTTTTTTTACCTTAAAATTGCTTAAAACACATGTATATTCAAAAATATTTTTTTATTGGGTTTATTTCAAGTTCTTGGATGGGTTTTTGAAGTCATGAATGAATTTATCAAGTAGCCTAATATATTTTCTAAGTATTCTAGATAAACAAATGGATTGAAAAATGATTTTTGGGTCAAAAAAATTTTAGGCTTGATTTTTTAAAACATCACAGTCACCAAAATTTGAATAAAATTAAATGACGCGTTATTTATTATAATTTCTTTCAATAATACCCGAGACAAATAAAATGTTATCTACCTTATCTATATTTAAAAAATTAAAGGCTGAAATGTGCAGAGTCTTACTAAATAGGTTAGGCATACTGATCTGGCTTTTTAGATCCAACAACACCTAATATTTTAAAATTTTATTTTTTATTTATTTTATATACATATAATTTTTGAAGTAATTATTCTAATTCATATTTTATATAAATAAAATTTATTTTTTAAAATAAAAATATTTATTTTTTGATATAATTTCTAATATGTGTAACATTGAATAATATTTTTTTTCTTTTATGTATCTATTTCTATTATTATTTAATTAAATAAAAATTTGAATTTAATAAATATAGCCATTAAACACAATTACATCAAAGGTTTATATTGTGAGGTCAAATATTTTGTCACAATGAAACTGGATGGAGGCGAATATGGTGCACGGACTTGTAGCTGGAATGCGCAAGGAATGCGCCGGCGCAATACAACTGTAACTGTCAGAGGCCGGGTGCATTATCCAAAGGAAAGAGGAGATGGGTGGTTGGAGATGGAACTCGGTGACTTCTTTAGCACAGAAAAGGAGGATGGAGAACTGGAAATGAGGTTTTTTGACGACACTGATCACTGGAAACGCGGGTTGATTGTGGAAGGGATTGAGATCAGACCAAAAGATGGTAGGTGGATGAGCAAGTATTTCATATTTTAGTGAGAAAGTCTTTTCTTTTCACATTTCAGTGGGCAAATTAATTTTAGTGTCTTTAATGCATCACTTTCAAGAGCTTATGTTGGTCCTGCCTAACGATCTTGAATCCATCCTGTCTACTGCCCTTGATGGTTCTCTCCTGCTGTCGTCCGCTTCTTCCAAAAAAGAAGTCTACTTCAGTCTCTGTGACAATCCCATCATTGTTGACCATGGGAGAAAGGTTAAGTTCCTTTTTTTTTTTTTAATCCAGTTTGTTTCCTTTGAACGTTTTTTTTTATACAGGTCCATTTGTGTTTAATTTCTTGAATAGCTTTTTTTTTATTAAATTTTTTTTCTTGATCCAATTTACTACTAGATCAGTTGATAATTAATATATTCGTTAACCAATTTAAAAGGATCAAGCGAACTGCCATTAAGAGTTTTTGCTAGGTAATTTATTTCTTATTATTTTTTAGTCAATATTTGCAGATGAATTAATGTTGTAGTTTTAGCGGTTACGCTAATATTTGGTAAGATTATGATATTAGCAAACATGACAGCATCTGCAACCTTACTCTAGAAGAGGATTGCTATTATCAAAAGCTTATAATAATAAGGATGGATTATCAAGCCAAGTTGCATCAATAAAATAGTGCAATTTATATGCTGTTATCATTTGTGCTATGATTTATAGTTTTTTGTCTGTTATTAATATCTATAAATAAAAGCATTATTTGAGAGCAAAATAAAAAAAAAAAATGCATAATATGAGAGACTAAGAGAAAAATAGGGGCTGCCAAGGGTAGCAACCCTGTTGTAATGTGCAGTAATGTGTGTGAGCAGTGGGAGTTGAGTTTGAGTGAAGTGATCCTCCTCTCTATATATGTTATAACCCTTTCTCAGTTTCTCTCTAATAATATTGTTTTTTTTCGTGGATTTAGATGATTTGTCGAACCATGTTAAATATTATATCAGTATACTTAACCTTCAAAGAGTAATTATCAGTACATCACAGTCTAAATCTCTAATAATAATTTATTTTATAAAAGTCATAAGTTACATTAGAAATATTGCTTCTCTTACTGAGCTCTTAGTTGTCTATCATGAATTTCTAGTATATATGAGCTGCAGAAGATAAAAAAAGATGTTAATTTTGAGGGACTTTTCAAGTTAATTTTAGCATCAACCTGAGGCTCCTGCCATTTAAATTTCAATTTTTCCTGTGGAAAAAAATACAAGTAAAATGATGCAAATGAGGGGACTAGACTAGGGAGGATTGGAATAATGAGAAGTCAAGAAATTATGCGTCTTGTCCCAAAAGCTACGTGGTTGATTTGATTTCCTTATGCAGTGGACTTTTATGGTTTTATTTGGAGTATTGATTTATCTAATAGTGTACTGCCTTTGTATTGAATAGAGCTTTTCATTGGAGAAAAAGAGTGGGAAGATATGTTACGTGCTTTCTGCAAGGGATCTCGTGATTACATGGGGTGATACTCCTGTGTACTGGGAATGGAAGTCTAATTCTGACTCCAGGTTTTCTTTCTTTTTACCTTTTTTTTTATGGGGTGATACTCCTCGAAATGTAACATGCTTTATACAAGTGATCTCATGGTTGTTTAATGATGATGGCTTATCTACAGATTTGCAGAAGTGGCTGAGCTTATTGATGTGTGTAGGCTTGAAATCCTTGGCAAAATCAATACTTGTTTGCTGTCCCCAGCAACATTATACACAGCATACCTCGTGTTCAAGTTTGCATCAAGAATTTATGGATTGTATAACCAACCAGTAGATGTCACAATGAAACTGGATGGAGGCGAATATGGTGCACGGACTGTCAGCTGGAATGCGCGAGGAATGCGCCGGCGCAATACATCTGTAACTGTCAGAGGCCGGGTGCATTATCCAAAGGAAAGAGGAGATGGGTGGTTGGAGATGGAACTCGGTGACTTCTTTAGCACAGAAAAGGAGGATGGAGAACTGGAAATGAGGTTTTTTGACGACACTGATCACTGGAAACGCGGGTTGATTGTGGAAGGGATTGAGATCAGACCAAAAGATGGTAGGTGGATGAGCAAGTATTTCATATTTTAGTGAGAAAGTCTTTTCTTTTCACATTTCAGTGGGCAAATTAGTTTTAGTGTCTTTAATGCATCAATGTCAAGAGCTTATGTTGGTCCTGCTTTGCATTTTTAGGTTTGCTCTAAGATACCATTTGAGGTTTTCCTTTCTATTGATGATGGAATCTTGCATTGTCATCCAGCATTTCTCAGAGTTCATGAAGTTATATATTCTATGAAATTCTCCTAAATCTGTGACCCTTTTCCCCCCACGTAGATTACGAGAGAAACCTCATAACGGTGAATTTGTCTGAAAAAATCAACCCAAATTGCAAAACCTTAAACATATATCTAGCTAGGGTTCTAAAAAGTTGGATATCAGGCTATATACTTCATTTTAAATTATGGTCTTTCAACAAGTTGGCTTCTTGATGTCATTTCTTTCTTTCCCAGTTTCCAGGGCAGCTAGTCCAAGCAGTTAAAGATTCACACACCGGACTACATCTGAAATGTGCAAGTTTACTTGGAGAAGCCGAGTTTGCACGCTGCTATTTTTGAATCAGAATCGCTATTGGACAGAAGTCATTCTGTTGAATAATAAGTTAAAAATTATCCTAATCGATGGAAAGACCTCTCAAATCCGTAAGTTTATAATATAAACTCTATGTTATTTTGTTTTATAATCAAATACTTGTGTAATTCTAGGAGCTGTCAAGGCTCAGAAGACTATCATATTATTATTATTATTATTATTATTATTATTATTATTATTATAACAGTGAAATATCAAGGCTCAGGCACATTTTAGTCTTCGAAATTCTTAAGATTTTTTTAATTTTATGTTTTATAATTTCATTAGTTATCTCTGTCTCACCATCTGCATCGCGAGTTTCTTAATTTACGATGTTAAATTGAGTTATTTATTTTTAATTATTTATTTTTTCAATTATATTCTTTAACATCTCGTTAATTGAGAATTATATTTTGTTAATTGAGAATTAGATTTTATATTATTTCTTATTTGTTTTCTATAATGTTATTATAATTTTATGATTAGATTCGTGAGTTTTATGAGTAAGTTAGGTTGACTTAAGATTTTTTAAATTTTATCCTATTTTGAATTGATTGAACATTAAATTTTATAATTCTTTTTGATTGGTTATTTATGGAGTTATTCATGTCTTCTTACTTGAGTTTGGTAAGTTAATCAATATTAATTTGACTTATTTTTTTTGTTCTTTTTTAATTTAACCATTTAACATTGGTTAATTGGTAATTGGTTTTTATAATTTTTATAACTTATTTTTTATAGGGTTATTATTGTCTTGTGATCCTATCGCATGTTAGGTTAGTTGACTTGAGATTTCTTTTAATTAATTTTTTTAGTTGTCTTTTAATATTAAGTTGATTAAAAATTAAACTTGATAATTTATTTTGGTTTATGTTCTATGAGGCATCTCAGTCTCGGAACTTGAGTCACAAGTTTCGTTAGTTGACTTGAGTGATTTTTTTTTAACTAATTCTTTTTAAAATTTTATCCATCAACATTGTATTAATAAAGAATTGAGTTTCATAATTTATTTTAATTTTTTTAATAGGATTAACCTGATCTCATGATCTAGGTTTTACATGTTAGTAAGGGATGACTCAATTTATTTTTTTAGTTGAATTTTGTTTTTAATTTTATCATTTAATATTGACTTGGTTGAAAATTATGTTTAATAATTTTTTTTATTTATTTTTTATAGGGTTATTAAGGTCTTATGATCTAATTGGAAGATTTAATTAGTTAATCCAAGTCAATTTAATATATAATTGTTTCAATATTTAAAAGAAAAGTTATCTTGAGTTTTTTAATCAGATTATATTTTTATTGGCCATTCACTTAATCTCTTGAATTGTTAAATATACTAGATCATCCTTTATAATTGTTTTTTTTTTAACTAAAAAACACATTAATAATATTTGAATATATTTTTGGACATTAAAAAAATTTAATTCGAGACAGAGAATAATAGCACGAACAATAATACTATATGTCTCCATGCTTATACAGTTTCTTCCTTTTTCTTTTTCTTTTTCCTGTTGATTCATGAAGATGACAATTGAACATTGTAACAGAGACAACACTTCTTTTTCATACAATGATCGAATAAACTAGTATTGGTCAGGTTAAGTTAATGTTTTGATATAAAAGAAATAAATATGAAAGAGGTATAAATATATTTAATTAAATAAATAAATATTATATTTCAAAATAAATTTATTTCGAATAGGTACAAAAAGTCAGGATGTTTAGTTGAATACACACTATATTTAATAGTTTTACCCAAATGTTTTTTTTGTTGGCAGTGACATTACCATTCCAATAGGAAAATTTTTACCAACTAATTCTATGTGTCCATCAGTATACCGTTCATTCATAATTTCGTTTATGTCGGAAATTCTGTTAGAAAAAATTAATAACCAATAACTTTGCAGATAAAAAATATACACAAAAAAAATACCTCTTGAAATAATTTTATGTACTGATAATTACTGGACTTGTAGCTGATCAATGATAATAATATATATAATAAAGTTTTTTCAACTTTTTAAAATATACAAACAGATTGAGTTCATTGTAATTCTATTGGTAATAATGACACTTGCAATAAATTTTTTTTAGTTCTCTAGGATATTCAATCTGTCAGTAACTCCATCTATGATATTAAAAAATATTTTTCTAAAAATAAAATTTTATAGAATAGTAAAAAATAAATAAAATTATATAAAAATAAATTATCTTAATATAAAAGCCAAATATTCATTACAAATTTGGATTTTCAAATAAATTTAAACTAGAACAATGGTGGCATAGAGAAGAAAAAGGAGGAGAAGGATGTTAGTGGTTCTCAGGACCATATAGCTTAAAAAAAGATGCACATATACCATCCATGTTTGATCTTATATCCAAAACCATTTTATAGAGTTGTTTATAATTCGCATAAAGTTCTTGATATGTTTCAAAGAAATTGATAGTATATTTTTGTAATGCCATGAACTCTTGAGACTTGGTGATTGATATCGATTTCAAGCATCCAATGATTGAGATAATAAAGGTCGTTCGTAAGTTTTTGGATATAGTGTTGAAGAGTCCATACACCTAATTTCTATTAGGTCCATTAGACGATCATGTCTTTATCCACAAATTTAGATTGAAATCCTGATATGTTGAAGTATCATCTCCATATCTCTTCCTCAATCGATAATTATATGTCTCTTGAAAATAAAAAACAAAATCATCAAATTCAATTAAAAAAATAATAACTTACAAAAGAAAATGGTTGAATGAACATACCATAAAATGTTGAGCGTGATTGTTAATGAACTATTGCACTCTTTTTGGTGGTCTTCACTCTATAAGTGTGTCTTCACAAAAAGTTCCATTAGGCTTGACTTACGTCCAAAAGCTATAGTCTGTAAAAAAAATATTGCAATTTAAATTTATTTATAAATAAAAATAAATAAATTAAAGATAGATTTAATTAAAACTAATCTTACTATTTGCTTCGCATGTGAAATAAATAGAACAAAGTTGTCAATGTGCGTGGTAATCGAATCATGAATTTGTCAATTTTAGTTCTCGGCACTAGATTACGAGCGTTGTGTAAATTGATCGAATATCACGTACTAAATATATTTCGTCCATATATTCCCCGGAATGTATGACGACCTGAAATCCTTTTAAACTGTCACATCATTCTAGTCTAATAAAGCATTATTTCTAGCATATTTTTTAGTTCTGTTTTGCTCCTCATACAAAAAATCATGCAACCTACACGATATAAATATATTTTATATGAGTTAATGACAAATTATATTTTAATATATAAAATTGAAAAAATTAGCTTATAGTGCAGAGGTCTTGCTTGATTCGATGAAGATTTCATCCTATCCTGATAACCATATGAACGGAAAATTAGCTGTCTTTCCTCGTCACCTTCATCCAAGGACAAAAAAATCAGAACACACTTTTCTTTGTCTTTATACTTATGGCCAAGCGGAGGTTTCAAGGATCAAGTAGATAAAAAGAGTGAAGACCCTAGACAATAAGAAGCCATCAAGAAGGCACCACGTGGGTAAATCTGTTCTGGTGCAAATATTTGTCAAATTGTGCTTCCTGTGTTTGTATAAAATCTATAGCCAAAAACCTTTATTATTATAAGGTAGAAGTTCAGACTAGGCACTTAGGGTGTGTTTTGGCACCACCATTTTATGAAGAATTGATTTTTTTTGGTTTTAAATTATTTTTTATGGTATTTTCTGTTTTTTTGATATGTGGATATTAAAAATAATTTTTTTAAAAAATAATAAAATATTATTACAATGCATTTTCAAATAAAAAACACTTTGAAGCAACTGTATTCTTAAATATGTTCTTAATTAATGTTTTAGGATTAAAAAAACAAAAACATGTTTGTAAATAAAAAATAAAAATCTGAAAACCTGGGAAAAGATGGCTAATGAAAATGAGCAGGGGAACTGTCGTCGAACTTGCATATATAGTGAATGTGCTGTCCTTTACGTGGCGGCATGCAGGCTGTCTATTGCCTCTCCATTGTTCAGGTCGGCCACAGAAACTGATGCCCTTTGGGAGAGATTCCTGCCCCGTGATCATCAATCTATCCTCTCCGAATCTGATAGTCCTCTGCTGATTTCTTCCAAGAAACAACTCTATGTCAGCCTCTGTGGTAATCCTATCCTCATTGAGGATGGTAAAAAGGTATCGTTTTCATCCCAATCCCAAATTTGGCAACATATTAAGTGACCCAAATTTCCAAAACAAATAGATTAGATAGGATTGTACAAGAAGATCAGACTATGTTGTCAAATTGAAGAGTTGGGATAAAATTCTTGGTTGTCTTCTATCTTTTTTTTTAAGAAGCATAATATTGTATTAAAAGACACTAAAATTAGGCGGAGAAGACATAAAACATAGGAAACTGCTTACAGCTCAAGTTTAGCAGATCTATGAACTGAAAATAACAACAAACCAGGAAACCAAAAAGAAACAATTAGTAGCTAATAGAAGCAAATAAAAGCTAAAATCAAAATAGTAGCTAAGAGCTAGAATTGTCTCTGGATATCTTGAAGAATCACCTCCTTTGTAGAACCAAAGCAATCTACAGATCATGGACATTAGCACGCACTAAAACAGAATCCTGCAACTTTTCATCAAAATCTACAAGAAAATGAACCAACATGGAAAACAATCCATTTTTCCTAATAGCCGTGCCCAGAAATTAAAGAAAATAGAAGACCCACATATCAAGCAAATTAAAGCCAAGCGACAAATTCAGAGTTTCTAAACACTCCCTGTTTGGCCATGTGATCTGCCATATGATTACCCTCACGAAGAGAATGAGTGAATGTAAGTGAACCAAAACATGAAACTACTCTCTGAATAGAGGAGAAAAGATTGCGATGCAGCCATGGCCTATTATTGGGATTATTCATCCAGCTAATGACATTGGCCGAGTCAGATTCAATAATAATGTGTTTATGATGTAAGTAGCAATTAGAAGCTGATAATTCAATAGCTTTGACAACCGCTTTTAGCTCGGCTACATTGGAGTCTAAAATCCCAGCTGACAAGGAGAAAATGCCAAGAATGATCCCATTATAATTTCGCAAGACTCCGTCTATACCTGAGGGCCCCGGCTTCCCGAGAGAGGAGCCATCCACATTCCATTTGAAGCTATTAATCATAGGAGGAGACCACACAATAACTGCCCTTTGATTTTTAGAATTAGTTCATCGTAATAGCACTTCTGGTGACCTTATTAAATCTGAAGCGAAATAAGAAAAATCAGGTTCTATAGCCTTTATCCAAAAACAGAAACGAGTAATAATAAGGATAAATAATGTATCATAATTTAGGGTCATTTACTTAAATATCACATCATTACGATGAAGCCAAAGAGACCATACCACTGAAAAAACAGTATCAACCAATTTTTTTTTTGAAATTTTCTATAAATCAAAGAATCTCAACGAGAAAAAAGGGTTGCCAAGTTCTTTGGACAACACCACGCTAAGCCCCATCAATTGATAATTTGAGACCAAACTATCCAATGTCATGTACTGAAGTCTATCCGAGTATTTGGATTTACTAAAGGATTAGGATCTTTATGGTTTTACTACAGAGATTGTTATCTAATTGTGCCCCCCTTTTTTTGGCATGAAATAGAGCTTTTCATTGGAGAAAAGGAGCGAGAAGAAATGATATATGCTCTCAGCAACGGATCTCAGAATTGCACGGGGTGACGCTCCTGAATATTTGGGATGGGCTTCTGATCCTGGCTCAAGGTCTCTCTTCTTCTCATCCTGATGACTTTCCATGGTATATTTTCTGTTTTCTGCTTTTGTGGCGTGGATACAAATACAATTTCATGATTTCGAGCACCTACAGGTTTTCCGAAGTGGCTCACTTTTTTTGTGTATGCTGGCTTGAAATCAGTAGCAAAATCAATACAAGCATGCTAGCTATCACCAGCAACATTGTGTACAGGACACCTTGTCTTCAAGCTCTCCGTAGAAGCGCTTGGTAACCAGCCAATACAGGGTCACTATGGGAATCATTGGTGGTGAAAAAAGCATACGCGAACTCTTTGTTGGCATGCAGAAAGACAGTCGCGGTGGCAATACCGAAGTTCAATAAGGCCTATAATTGGTTCATCTGCTGCTGAAAGTAATTGGAATTATCCAAAGGAAAGAGGAGATGGATGGTCGCAGATTGAAATGGGTAAAATTATTTAGAATTTATTTTTTATTTTTTTATTTTCTTATAATATTCATAACTATAACATTAATGAGTATTAACTATAACAATTTAGTACACCATAATGATAATAATTTATTTATTATTTTATGACTTTTATCCCATTCAAATTATTGAATTCAAAACTAACGGTGGGTTTGGGAGCAAGAACATTCAAATCCTATTATTGGATCATCCTGACTTCATTTATTTATTATATTTGATGAAAAATATATCTTCAAATACATTATACTAGATTAAATTTTATTTTCAATCAATTTTAAAGACATTTCTTTTAAATTTCTCATAATCTTTTCAATATAAAACTTGCACACACCTAATACCATTTACCTTTAATACGATAGAATAAAATGGTGAGATTGAATTTCTCGTGCTACCTAGTTATTAAAAATGTGAAACAATTGTTATTAATAAAACACTAAAAGGCATGAGGTAATGCATGAGGTAATGTTGTTCTCCCACACATGGTAGGCTCACACTCATGGGACCGTAAATTCGATTTACCTATGAGTTTTTTTTTCATCCTTTTTTATTTTTTTATTTTTTAAGGACAAATTAAAAATTAACTAAGTAAAACATGTTAAGAAATAACAAAATTAAAAGAGATGACACTAAAGTGAAACCTGAAGACTGATGTTTTCAAAAGAAAAAAAAAAGGTGCAACTGAGTCCTCATTCTTTATGAATTAAACAATTGGGTCCCTTTAATTTTAAAGTTTTAAAAAATGAATTTTGATCCAAAATTTTTTTTTTAGTTTTTGATTTGAGAATGGAGAGATAAAATCATCTCGTTCCAACAACAAAGAAAAAAAATTATTGTTGATATTGATTCCAACAACCCAAATGATTGATTATCGTTGACATTGATTCCAACAATCTAAATAATTGATCTTGGTATCAAATATTTTTATTTGATAAAAAAAATACAATTTAAGTATTTTTTTTACCTTAAAATTACTTAAAACACATGTATATTCAAAAATATTTTTTTATTGGGTTTATTTCAAGTTCTTGGATGGGTTTTTGAAGTCATGAATGAATTTATCAAGTAGCCTAATATGTTTTCTAAGTATTCTGGATAAACAAATGGATTGAAAAATGATTTTTGGGTCAAAAAAATTTTAGG